TATATAACGATAGTGGACAGGTACGAGGAATCGATTCGGTGAGAGGATAAAGCCTAACCTCATACACGAAAGCAAAATGCATCTCACTCGAACGATTGCCGCTCTATCCAAATGGCTGACTGTCTTGGGATGTCTTGGAATTATTGGTACAAAATGGGAAGAGAGAATTAAAAAGATCAGAGGTTTTCTTGGTCGGTAGGTTATTGTGTGCACCACGTTCGTCCTCGTTCCAAGCGATTATAATCGCTATCGCTATAGCTATAGCTACGTTAAACCCATGGCAAAACCCGGAGGGCTCTTGCCTCCAATGCTTTTATTTTTATATGCCCTCCCTAATAACCAGCTCTACAGTAAAAACAAGAATAAATAAAGTATAAAGGTCAATATTAATGAACAAACACAAGGGCAATTTTCGGGGGATTTAAGAATATCGCTGAATCATCTATGCGATATCGATTCAAGAGGAAGGCTCTACCTGATTTGAGGGTCCTCTGAGAATTAAAGAATGTGTTGCATGAATTATGATCATTTTTTTTAACCGACAAAATATACAAAACCAACCCTCCACCAATTTTTCAAATTTTTTCTCGAGCGCGAGAAATTGAAATGACGAGTAATTGAAAATGACTAAACATCCTTAATTACAGGTTCGTTGATCCCGTGGTCTGGTCAGCTGACCAGCGACATCCTGACCGATTGCGATAACTCAAAGTGGGGCAATGCAATCCGATGAGTGGAATAAAAATCGCAGTGATGATTATAGAGAGCCCTGAGATACCAGAGCATTTGCATCCGGCCTCTTCAGCCACGAAAGTGACTACAGCCATAACTATTATTTTTTTTTTCATGAAAAAAATATAAAAACTGAGGAGAGATTAATTCTATGTGAGAAAAATACGTAAGTAATGAATACAGAAGAGAGGAAATTGCGTGAGTCCATAGTTTTATGCACAATTATATTATAAACAGTTGTTGTACGTTGAAGGATTCCGCGATGAAAAGAAAATTATCGTTTTGCATGGGCGGAAGGAAACGCTTTCGACAAAACTCCATGAGGAGCGAATTGTCTTTCATTATTTTATCATTCACTTTTCTACAAATAAAAGAAACTCAAAATTGTGGATAAACATTAGCCGTAGTGGAGTGGTAATTTAACGATGCAACGTATGATGAAAAGTTGAAAGAGAAAAAAAAACTTTGTGGCTGGGGATTAAAAACGATCATCTCCGTTTCGTGATTATGAAAGTACAAGCGTATACACGATGGGGGATTAGTACTTGGGTGTATAAGAATCATGCTGTAACGCGGTTTGTAACGGCCAACGGTATTACAAAAGTGACAGTGAAATGGCGGCTGAGCGCACACGCGTTTCACTGCAGCCACATATTTTCCCTCAACTCGTAACAGTCTAAGACTAAGACCAACCTCAGTAATTATTATTTCACGGGCTCATGTGTCTTTTTTTATTTTACCATCCCAATTGGAGAAAAAATCCATCCCCACATCCCCGAGTCAAAAGAAACATGACGAGATTCTATTGAAAACGCGTGCGGAAACCACGTGTTCAGCCGGAAATGTTTCACGGAATTATATTCAGCTTTCTAAATGCATTAAATTCATGATAATTGCATATTTTATCGCGTCATTTAATTCTACAATACGCTGAGAATTAGTTGACGGTGAAAAATCCCCCATTTCAAGTGAATTGAATTTGTTAGGTGTTTGTTTTATCTCCTGACGAATGTTATTTACCGACGGCAAACGCTCGAAGTCCCCGCGAACAAAAAGAAAGAAAAAACAACAGTATTACAGAACCTAAAGATTATATATACACGATAACAAAAGTCTCAAAGCGCAAGTCAAAATCGAGTGAAACGCGGAGAAGAATAAAAAATACTGAAAAATATTGAACTGGAGAAAAATAAAAATAAACTCGTAACCTCGAGTGTGCAGCACGCTCTTGCATTCTATTTTATCCGTGGGGATCTTATCTCAGTGACATTGCCATATCTTCCGAGTACATATACGAGGGCACTGGTCTTTCTCAAGTGCATATCGACAAAACGCGAAGGACAGTTGGAGGGGGGGATGAAAAAGAAGTGTTTGAAAAAAAAAATATTTGAAACGTAAAAAAAAAGACGAGAACGAAAAACGTATAAGACAGAGCCGGTGATTCAACCGTGATAAAGTGTTGTTTTATTTTTACATCACTCTTGAAACTTCATTATGCATCTGCTTGAATTGTAAATAAAAAGAAATGAGATATGAAAAAAATGATAAACAGTGAATACAAATAGGGGCCATTGATGCCAAGTTTTTATATTTTTTTTCGTCCATTGGCTACTCAATAAAATTAGATACTCAATCAATTATGTTCAATTGGGATTTTGTTTATCAACAAGCCGCACAGTGAGGTACGCAGTTGCGGCATTGTATTTTCTATCGCTGTTGGATTATTGCGGCACTACGGTTCACTCGTGCCTGCAATAATTACCCACGATTTTTCCACGTGTGTTTTGCAACCTCCAAAGTGCACCCGGTGATTTTACACTGTTTTTCACACCCGTAGATCCATAATGCCTCGAATTTATGAAAATTCCGCGTCAATAATTTTAGTTCAACACTGAAATAAATCCCAACGACAATGTACAAGGACAAAAAAAATGCGAAGTTGAATAATCGGAAGTGCAGTGATAATGTCTAACTGTTTGTGAGAAAAAAAAATCAACAGGCCAATGTCACATTTGGTTAATGATTCGTGAATCCCGTACAGCATGTGATGGCACACAATTGAGGCGTCACACTTTACGAACTTAATTATTCCGGTCGGAACAAAAATTGGAATAAATTGAATAAATAATGACGACAAAAAAACTTCTGTTTTGGTGTTATTTTCACAGAGCCACCGTTATCCTCCAGCGCAAAAGTGCAGTAAAAGTCGTGGGATTGGAACGGGGCCGTAGGTGAAAAAGGAAATAAAAAATTGAAAAAAATATCAGAGGGCACTAATTTTGCTCGGTGAGAAAAAGAAATTGGAACTGAAACGAAAATTAGGGATCTCTACCCGTCGGCAGCGCGGACATCACACATACACGTTTCACTCGTACTAATCTCTCACTATACCGATGTCCGAGCAAAACTTCCAGGGCCGTCCGAGAATTGTTTTCTGCACGATTCTACACGTTTCTCTGTCCAGTGTTATTATTTTTTCCCTTATTTTTCATCATTCCCAACACAGACTATCTGAGCCGAGGGATTGCTCACTGTCACACGTCATCACGTGAATTTTTCACATGTGCCAAACGTCATTCACACTTTTTCACATTTTTTGTTCTGAATTCAATATTTTTTTTTCACTCTTTTTCCTGCTTCGAGCGTTTCAACGACCCCGGATAATTGTCGGTCTATCACACCCGCTCGAACGACATATTATACGTCCGAGGTCTCTGAACTCGTTCAAGGGTACTAATTATCCGGTGTTTCAAGAATTTTAAAAAGGGGGCTAGAAAAAAAATCGACCCAGTAAACAGATTTTTGTAATAACACGGAGATAACATACATTAGTTCTCTTTCGTTACTCGACCTTGGAAGTGAATAATTCATTAATCATTGAGACTTGTATCACGGACATCAGTGATTTGTTTTTTTCGACGGAAGTGATGAATATGAGAGAGTGAGTGAATGTGAAAGAATATCCAATATGTTTCATCGGACTATCATACTCCTTCGGGTAATTCTGGTGAAATGTGCGGTTTGATCGATTTCTATGAAGGAGGTGGAGTTCGAAAAAAGGAGGAACGAGTCAATTCGATTCGGGTTTCGGTTTCTCTAGTCTAGAGCGATAAAAAAATACGTGACCCGAGACGGGTATAACTGAGGCCCATTGGTAAAACTCTAGAATTAGAAGCGGCCATTAAAATCCAGAAGGGATAATTGGCCCTGAGGTTTCTCAAGTCGGTATCTTCTTTGCACTAGCGACTGGCAAATCAACCAGAAAAATAAATCACCGGGCAGACAATAATTATAACTATTTCCAGAGACAAAAAAAAACAGGAATTATTTGAATAATGATAGACGTGAGGGAATTTTGGGTGAAATACCAGAAAAAAAGGATTGCTCAATGTCTATAGGTGGTGAATGGGAGAAACAACTGGCAGAGGAGACTATTAAAAATCAACTTGATTGATTTTATCACCGATAATCCCAGAAAACCCGAATTCGATACTCGTCCGAAAGTGACCTCGAAATGCTTTTTCCACCGGAATCAAAACAAACGCTCGGTGATAGCGCAATGCCAAACAGGAGAGAAACAGAATAAGATGCCAAGAAATGGGGGGGAGGAGGGGGAGGCAGGAAGAAAGAGTGACTGGTTTCGTCGCTATTCAGAGGAGGCGATAAGCATCGAACTTGCCAGAGGGCTTCAGGGCTAACTGCCTGTCAACGAATGTTGCACAGTGTTTCTTTTCTCCCTTTTACCTCCCACACTCCTCAATTTTTTTTGTCATTCGCTTCACCTTCTCGATTACCAAGAAACCGAGATTTGAAATGTGCGAGTTTATAATGCGACAGCCAATGAAAAATATCATTCCCTTATGAAAAGGTAATCTGACATTATTTTAAAATCATTTACACGTGGCTTTTTATTCCACTTCAATGCACCCATGCAGTGATTGCTCGAGGGGACATTATTGTTTAGCACTGGAGGAGATATCACTGAACTTAAAAAGAAATTTTTCTCTACGGGTTACGAGCTTGGACATCACTTTTTTTCACCGATGAATATTTTTGAATATTATTTACCACCGGAAACAGGGATTTTCTCACTGTTCATTCATCAAATAGATTTTCGGGGGCAACTTGGCACACGTTTTTTGGGGATCCATTAGAAAATGTGAGGCTCATGGACGCACGAAAACTCGGCATTTTGCCCGAGCTAACACCCGGTGCTCAACACAGGGAAGTGAAAAGACGATTGTGGGATGGGAAAAAAAGACAATTACCTGAGTTGCGTCTGAGTAAGGTGTTGATGAATTTTTATCCACGAGGAGCGATCCAAACAGGGGCATCCCGGAATTTGTGGGACTGTCCTGCTGCTGGGGCACCATTTTATGGGCCGGACCACTTCACTCACGTCGATCAAATCACAAGGAAAAATAAAATCATAAAATTTTCACACTACGATTAATCAATTTCCCCAGGAAATCCACACTATTTGTCATTAACTTCTAACGAGAGTTCTACCACTGCTGGAGTTTCAACTGAGATGTCAATGTTTTTGAAAATGACCTCGTCTCAATCTGAGGAGCGCGGCCTGCGGCTCCAGGGTAATGTTGCCTCTCAATAAAACAATGCCTGTGTTTTGAGAGCTCCTTAAGAGATAACCACTCGTTCACTCTCTCGTCTTGTTTTTTTTTCTTTAGCCGCGGAGATATTTCTCTTCACTCTCCTCTTGAAATTATTCACTCGTACTTCGACAATGTCTGAGAGTCCTTGTAATATCACTGAATCTCCAATTCCCTTGCTCGCCCTCAAATTGCAAAACAACGACGAGCTCTCGACACTCTTCTTGCACGTCTCGAATTATTTTGACGGAGGTGAGTAGAATGATGAGTGTTCCTCCGATGGATTGAGATAAAGAATAATCAATAATTTAAACCAACGTACGAAGAATAAATACCAATTCACACAGCACGTTTTATTTAATATCGATAAAATTTATGATTTTATTTCTGGAATTCTCTCACGCTCGATTGTGACGGGGTGGCATTTTATAGATCCCGTCTGCGTGTGACTAATGATGCTCAGTGAACGAGCGCTCATGTGCTACTGAGTCGCGGTATTCAGAATGACTGAATATACACTAGTCGACTGGTGCTCTCGCCGCCGCATCAGCTGTGCCGCCACCTCATCCCCACCACCAGCTCGCCCCACGCGCATCACCAATCCCAGCCACCGATAAAACTTATTCTCTATCTTCTCTCTTTTCATCCCACAAAAAATCCTCTCTTTCTCTCTCTCACTGACCAAACCTATCAGCCACAATAAAACAAGTCGCTAATCGTATTCTACAAAATTCCACGTAGTTGTCACTGTTCGTCAAATGTTAAATTACTGCTTGCCCTTTTAAAAATCACCTCTAACGAAAAGTGTCATCATTTTTCTCCTCATAGCTCATAGTTTACGAAAATCATTTTTTCACAATCATAATATGCATATATTTTAAATTCAATGATCAATCAGAGAGTAGAATTTGTAAGCATTTCAACACACGGTAACAAAATAATTAGTCGGGTAATAATGTTTGTAATGATGGCAAATAAATATTTAGAAACATATATTAATAATTTTTTAATTATTTCTTGTTTATATGTACTTACTGAAGCATACTTCACTGAAGCGCAGAGCGCACCCTTCGTCTAGTTTACTCCAAATAAATACAGATGCTTTTACGGACCTATTCACAATAACCTAATAATATCGATAATAAAATTAATAGTGAATAATAAAATTATTCACTAAATGGGTCATCTCTCTTAAGTGCTCCGTAAATGGTGACTGCGAGGCATCCATCTGTAAGCAAAAAAAAAAGAATGAAAGTTTAATAAAAATTTGAGTGCAGTGCTTGCATTTTCCACTAACATGTGCTCGACGACGTTGAACAATGTATATTGCGCATTGACGTGCAATATACGCGCAATAGATGCACACATTTAATTTGCAAAGTCGGGGGTGTATTGGCCCGGTACAGACGTTGGCCGAACATTGACGTTCTCAACGCCCCCATAGTAGCAAAATATTTCGGCATTTTTCCACGTGTCTCTACTATTATTTTTACTTATCTTTTTAAAATAGTTCCGACGCCCATGGACGGACGGGGGTTAACGACATTTGTCAATGGCCAGTGGAAAATTCGGCATGGAGATATTTCGCGAATCATTGTCGCCATCAATCATCCCCTCAGTGTCATTTAATTGGGTTTCGCTATTAAATAAACCACGTAACCTTTTCTCTTACTTATTTTTTATCAAACACGATAACAATGCGAATCAATAATAATTGATCGATTGCCATATTTTTTTGTCATCATGTATCTCGATTGGTAGAAGAAAAAGTGAATTGGTATAAGTAATCCCACATCAACTTTCAATTAGTCAATTAATCACGGGTAAATTTTATTTACATAAATGACTTTCCCATATCTAATATCCTTGAAAATTGGCGAGCCCATTGTGGCATCTGCACTTTTTCAACGATCCGGAGTGATTCAGTTTCTCTCTTAGTTAAAATGTTGAGCGTAAATCTTCAAAATGTCCCTGTAAAAACAACGAATCTCTCATTCGCTTTACTCCTCTCCCGTATAGTTCTGTTCATTTTTTTCGAGTCGATTTTTTTGTTCACTTTTTTTCTTTTAATTTTACAAGTGTCAGATAATAAAAGTCAGCGAACCCCGTCGTAAAAGAGCAGCTGCGTGCACGCGAGGTGAACTTTATTGCAAACTCGTCACGATAGATGTCGTTGTCACCGTCTTCAAATTACGATAGATGAGAAATCCCTTTTGAGTTTTTTTCATCCAACTGGCGAACTCCGCACGTTCTCATTCAATTATTTATCCCCTCATCCCCACATCCCCCAGTTCCATTGCTCATTCTCAGATGTATATTCAATCGACGTTTGGCACGTACCTGCGAAAGATATCTTTGCCCGTGAGTATACGTTGTACACGTGAAGAGAAGTGGCTATTCGTGCCAAAAAATAATCTTTCTTTTTTGGAGTACTTGATGACGAAACGAGAGGAAAGGGGGAGACGATAGAGATCTTCGATATTATAAGTCAACTGTGGTATGTTTATCTCTTCGTTAGTTTTCCGCGAATCCATCTAAAAATATAAATTCGAAGATCTCACTCGCTTTCGAGAGCTCTCTGAACCCAATGACAATTTTCTAGGAATTGAAATTCATCAATTGCCCAAAAATATTCATTCATACTTGATTGAGATCAAATTGAATCAAAATGAATTTCGATTTCACGTGTTCAATACTTTAATTAGGAATCAAAAATAGTTTAGTACTATTGTACTATATGTACGCAGCGTCCAATCGAGCGGAGTATGTTCCCATGTTTATTTATTTATCCCGATACACCCGTAGCAAAAAAGCACGAGTGCCAGAGATTACTACGCATATCTTGCTGCTCCGTACTGCAGAAAACGTGAGATATATTGTTTATAATTGTCATGAAAATTGTTCTCACGAATGAACGAAAAAGACCTGGATGCATCGCAGTTATGGCCGATATTATCCGCCATTAACGAAAAAAATTGGCATTAAATCGGATGAACTGTTTACGACAACGATACACCATTTGCAAATGATAAAATTATAAAGTAAAAGTCCCCCCCAATTTATGAGCGGGTTTATTTTCAGGGTCAAAGCCCGTGGGCTTCTACGTTTTTCGCCGACAATTGCTAATGCGTACAATAGTTAATCGAGCCATGCACACGCTAAATAGAATGAGAGGAAAATGCCGTCTGCGCTCAGACGATGGGAGCGGTTTGCCGGATGTCAAATGCAACCTAAGAATACTAAATACCTTGTGCGCTGATGTGTTTACTTGAAAATATACTCTAACCGCCAGCATTGCATTTAACCTTCGCATGAATTCAATGGTGGACACTCGCTCCACGATATTTCTCGCCATGGATGTCTTTACAGTGAAAAGCCGTTCTTTTCGAAATACGTCCAACTGTCTAACGTAGAGCACTTGACGGCTTCTAATGTTACCTCTTGGTAATTATCACGCTAAACTCGTTTTTTCATTTCAAGGCGGATTTTTTTTTTCAAGGACAAACGGTTTTGGCTATTATGCAGAAGGAAAGAGTCCTCGAGAGGGTAGAACCACGATGTTCATTGGATTAAAAGCAGGTTTTAAAGTTGGTTAATTATTCATGGGGATTTTATTATTGTCTTTTATTCGGAATTAGTTCAGCAAAATTAAAAAATGTCGGGGACGCCAGTTTTTGAGCAATTTATTTAGTGGAATATGTTTAGATGACTTCAAGAGTGTCTAGTATAAAAAAAAATTTTGCTGAAAAGCAAATCACCGGAAAGCCAACATCAGCCGATAATGATTGAACGATAATCAGGCGGTCCTGCAGCAACTTATTAATCTCCTAATTGAAAAGTTGTAAGGGAAGCCCCTAATCGGTCTGTGGCCCCTGGAACATTCACGAGGCGGTCTGATAATAAGCAATCAGGCCAGCCTAATTCTTATCTTCATCGGTGCATCATCGAAGTAAACAGACATTATTGATTCCTGCCTTCTACACTGTAAATAAAAAAATTAGCAGCCCAAAGTAAATTTTTCGTCGACAATTCTATAGTGCAGACTCGGGAATCTGTCATAAAGTGACAGACAAAAAAAAATCTTTGGGAATTTTCTCTGGATTTAAGTCAATTTCTCACGTTTTTTTGATTTGCAAATGCATCCATTAGAAGTTTACAAAAATTTTAACGAAAATTCCGATAATTTAATACTAAAGTAGAATGACTCAATGCAAACCGCTATTACAAATATTGCCTACAATTCATTTGTTCACTCCGATAAAAATGCACCGGCTGATAAGAACGAATTTCAAATTGATCATTCGATGTAGGGATAAAATCACGAGATAAAAATAATAACGATCATTTTATTTTCTTATAATTGTTTTGGTTTCATTTTATTTTATATCATTTTAAATAATTTGGAAACAATTGAAAAATATTTAAAAAAAAAATGTAATGAAAAATATGAAACTCTCAAGTCTGAATTCATTATTACTTTACGCTGTCATATACTGATATTAGCGGAAGGGCTAGGCGCGCTTGACATTCTGCAGTATCATAAATTTTTGCAAATACTTCTGCAGATATAGTACGTCACCCTTTGCGGCTGAATCAAACTGATTGTCAATGAACACCTGACAAATAAATTAATCCCAAGATATAATACGAATCGATTATTCAGCGTAACGTCATCCTTTCCTTTGGAGCTACGGTGTGATTACCCTTGCTACTGTGCTGCCTTCTCAGCGTCACATTCAAGTGAAAATTAATATATCTCATGTATAATTACATGGCTCGGTGTATAACTGACGAGTTATCGGAATCCAGTGTTGCGTGTTTGCAGCCACGAAGACAAGTACTAACAAAGGTCACGCTTAGATACACTCAAACGACATCAAACACGTCGGAACGTCCCGGTTTCGACGTCAATGTAACATTCATAATATTCATATTGTTATCAATTTGCTTTCACTAATATCCACACTATTCTGTGTAAATTAATGTCTCGAGCTTGGCAACGGTATTCAACATAGACCTATTACAGTGTTAAATTTCATTTTACGTCGCATATATTTTGGAATTTGTCTAAAAAAATCAGAGGATTAAGTGCTTTCACTTATTTTGAATTTCCACCGAACCCTCGATCGAACCACATTTTCACAGAGTTCACCTGAAAATTTGCAACATCACAAAAAAAATTAATGGAAAAAAATAAATATAAAGAATGTCAATACTGAATATTATTGATGGCACAAAATTTATGTTGTGGAATGTGATGAATTCCTCCAAATAGAGACCAAGACTTTGTTGGTATTTCCAGAGAACCATTGAAATGATTCTTTCCCCTTAAATTCCCCTTTTGACCCGCAAATCCACTCAGAATTGTTTAGCAGTGCATCATAACAAGTGCCCAACATCCATTCCGTAATTCCTCAAAAACAATTTTTCCAACTCATTGCAACCCATTACGAATTTCCAACTTCCTAACGGTACAATCGAGCATGACTATATATTATTTCATT